TTTATGTTTTTTAGATTTTGAGTAAAAGAAGATTGATGATGGCCAATAAATGTCAATTATCGACACTTTAAAAAAATAAGAGTTTTAAGTAGACAAAAAGTATAAAAAGATTTACCTGTGGCAATTACAAAAAAAGTATTATTCCAATAATTAAAAAAATAAAAGATTAAATTTAAGGAAAGAAATTGAATGACCAAATTCAAATATTAAACATAAATAAAGGGAGTTAAAAAGGTAAATAAGTTAAAAATTTATTGGCTATTATTTCCTTTTTTTTTCCAAATAGTTGATTATTTTATTTACATGTTATTTCTTTTAATTGCAATTTGCAAATGAAAAATATTTATAATTTTTTTATTTGTTTGGAACGATTTAGGGGGAGAGAATTGAGGTAAAGAAAAGATGGATAGAGAATGTCAATGAAGAGAAAGATGTTAAAAGAAAACAATGAGACTAAAAAACATATAATCTTCTCTCTCTAATACAGATATTTTGCTTAGTGCAAAATTTTTCACCTTTCCTATATTATCCCTAGTAAAAAATGATACAATAATTATCTTTAAATTTTCATAAGGATAATAATAAATGATTAATTGTATTTTTTCTTGGTATAAGTGTAATTTTGATTTTTTAGCTAAGTTTTTTAACTATTAAAATAGTGAAAATTTGGCCCTTTTTATTTTTATTTTATCATACTTAAAATTGTTAAACTATTATTTTCAATCTAAATATTTAAGAAATTTATGATGTAATTATTGTATGAAATAATTTTAAATTTTTAGAAGTGAGCACTTTAATGAATATTTGCAAGATTAGAAGATTATTTTAAGATGTGAAATTATAGTTTAAAGATGAAAATTTTATTTTTTTATATTTTTTACTAAAATTTTATTTTTGAATAAATTTTTGAATAAATGAAAGTTTAAAATAATATAACTTGTTCACTTTATTAATATTTTAAGTAAATAATAGAATTAAATATTTTATGTAGAGAAAAATCAATAAAAAGATTAAATTTGGAAAATTTTAAAAAGCAAAAAAACCTAATTAACTTGAAAAAAAAATCAAAATCATACATATGATAAAAAATAATAAAATGAGAAAAAAATACGATTAAGTCTATAATAAATATAATATTTATTATGGCTTTTACCGAGTGAAAGAAAAGTCATTATTGTTATTGATTTTTTAACTTCTTTTCTGATTTCTGTCAGTCCAAATAACTAAAATTGTACCCTACTTTATTTCTTTTCTAACCTACTTCTTTTCACTCTACTGCTTACCGCCTTTTCTCTGCAGCCAAACAAAAGATTAAGGCTTTTCATTAATATTATTATATCTTTAATCGATTTAATCAAATGTAAACAATAAAAACTGAGCTGAAATGTCAAATCAAACAAATAAATTTTAAAAAAATAAAAAATAATAACTTGATTGTAATAATTTAAAAAGTTAAATTATTAAATTCGAGCAAAAAAATTTAGAAAACTAAACTGCACACTAGTCATAGCAAAGAGACTAAAACTGTAACTATGAAAAAAAAAAGTCTCACTAACAAGTATCTTAAGGACATTTATAAAACAATAATAAATATTTTTTTAAAATATCGATATAGGTTGATATCCCTTTTTCTTCAAATTTTTTCTTTTAATTTTTTAATTAGTGTCATAAGAACACTTATCAACTATTGGTCACTTATTTTTTTTATTATATTGTGAATAAAATAATCAACACATTAAGATTTTTTATAATATTAATATACTTTATTTTCTTAGACTTTCGGTGATCTTATAATTTGAATATCCTAATAAAATATTGACTCTGCCCTGCCCCCAATCAAGAATGTGGAATCCCATGCACAGTGCAAACTGTGTTAAGAGAACCATTATGAAAATGGATTGGTCAGCACAACAGGAAAAGCTTGTGAGAAGACCAAAGAACCATGATAGTCACAAGTGTATATAAAGCGTAAACCACTATCCAAAAGTTGGCGTTTGGAATAAGCCTCCCCATATATGATAAAAAGGTTTTCAATTAAAATGGCTGCCAAAGTGGGCTCTTTTTTTATATTTTTTTAATTTTAAAATCACAAAACTATGAGTTTTTGTTTTACAAAATCACAGAAATATAAAAAACTTTAAAAAATTGCCATGGATAAAAAATTATAATGACAATTTTTTTACTTTTAAAATATTTTATTATTATTTTAAAAAATTATTATTGACGATTTTTACTTTTTAAAATTTTTAAATTTTTTTTTAAAAAATATCATTAGCGATTTTTGATACTTTACAATTTTTTTATTCTTTTATTTCTTAATTTTTTACTTATATAAAAAATTGCTAATAATAATTTTTAAATCTCATATTTTTATAATTTTTTTAAAAAATACTATATTTGTGTATATATTATTTCTAAAAATCATATATAACGTAAAGAGAAAGAAAACATATAAGGTGGGAAATGTCATACATCATGCTTATGCAGGCTTTTACATTTGTTTGAAGGTGTTAACCCAATATAAATAAACATTTTATAAATTAATCAGGATCCAAATTTCTGTTCCTTGTACATCAAAACTGCACAATTTATTGCCGATTTCTCCAATAAAGTCATTGAATCTAATGTTGAATAAACTCTAGCTACAATTTGATTCAGGTGTGACTAAAGAAGTAAGCTTTGTTGTAAGTTTTGCGCAGAAATTGAAACAACCACATGTCAATATACACAAACACAATGATCATGCAGGCTTGTTCAACCATCTCTTGCACTTGTGGTTATCTGCTGCTACATGCTGAGACAAAAAATGCATATAAATAGTCAAGGAAACTATTTTTGTCAGTAACCAAATATCAATAGCCTAATAACAAGGGATGAAACTTTTGTTGTCATTTTCTGTGTTTCAATATATTCCTTTAATCCTTATGAATAAATAATGTTATAAAGTTCTAGGATTTTCCCTAAGATCAATAGTATTTGGTCAACACAGTCATTACAGTCCGATCGATATCACTGTTGGAAGAGTGAGTAAATACAAAAGATTGAGGGATTTAATGATTCCCCAAATAAAGGGTTACTGTCAGGCAACTTTCTGATTTACTATGATTGATTCCTTATTGGTACACTGTAGCTTTATTTAAAGTTTTGGCTTTATTCTCTTAATATGATTCCTAAAATAATGGCCATATGTTTGAGCTTCTTGGCTACATATTTTAAACATGCACTACTGAAAATGTGCTTATTTCAGTTCCTCAATTAGGCCTACACTCCTTCCTCAATGAATGAGCACCGAGAATAATTGAGAGAAAAACTTGGATTCATGAAGCACCAATTGTTGTCATCAGAATTCTCCCCGTGAAATGTTTGCAGTGCAGCCCTTGTGGATGCTGCAAATAATACCAAGTTCTCTTGGCTATTTACATTTGTATCATTCAAAATCATTTCAATGCAGATGTGCAAGAGAACAGAGGAATCTAATGAAGTCCAGGAAAGAAAAGCAGCTAAAGGGAACTACAATCAACTGATAAACAATAATGCATATGGGAATAGTCTAGACCCAAAAAAATCATGCCACAAAATTGAAGCATAGGAAGATACTATGTACAGATAATAGCATGTAACATGAAAATGCAAAAACGTACAATTTCTCTTCTTCGGACTCTAACCAGCATTAAAAAGAGAGGGAGAGAACATTTAAGCCATGTCCTTTGACTTAAAGAATGCAGTATGCTGCCATCATACTCTTCCCACCTTCATTTTGCCCTCCAAAGAAAAGCTTTCCCATGGCGGCGTGGCAGCCACATTTGATTGCAAATGAAACGCATAATCACTAAGGTAATGTTTGGAGAGATGGAAAGTAAAGGATGGAGCAGAATGAATGGAAAGACATTAAATATGCCAGTGAATAAAGTTATACCAAACAACTATAATTCACTAATCTCCCTGCCATTTCATTCACTTCCCAAATAATTGAATAAAACCTTGACTTCATTCCGTCAAAACCAACAGAATTGTATGGTAATTTCTATTCCATGTGACTTCACACAATTCCGTCATATTCTACCCATCATTAGATACTCATAGAACTAACAGCTACTACAACTTTCTTTCATTCATTACAAAAGTGAGAACGGAATGGTGCTTCATGAACCACATTATTGATATCCGTAGAAAGTTATGCCTTCCTCCAGCAATCTGTTTCCAACGAGAAGCAACCAAAACAAAGAGAGTGCAAATCAACTGATATAACACAGCAGCAGTGCAGCTGAATCAGGAAAATCTTCCAAGGAACATGACAGAGTCTGTAATTTACCTACATACGACTTCATGTAACTAGTGAATCCATGGAAAGGACAATTAAAAATAGTGCTGCAATAACTATAACCACAAAACAACTTGTGAAAAAAGTAAGATTAACCATGCAGAATTAAGATAAACACATTAGAACTAACTTTGTTTCCGTTAAAATGAACAGCACGACAAATATTGTCAAAGCTCAGCTTGATCTGCTGATTATAAACACATTAGAACTAACAACCGCAAATCTGTCGGCAACTTTATACACACTATCACATTCCCCCCACAACTAAATCTACCAAAGAATAGAAGTATATAAAAAGAAAATTAAAAAAATTAAAAGAAAGAAACAAAACTTGTGTAATTTGTACGGTAGAAGTATCCCCATTATCTCAACATCACATTAGACATCTAATGAATCCGGCTCGAGGCAGTAAAGTTTTTCCATTGAATCTTCAACACAGCTGCATCCTCCGGAACATTAACCTGAAATCCATGGCAACGCTAAAACAGTATCCGCCAATTGATCCACGCGGTCGAACGCATGTGATCCGCATTTGCTTCAACGTTATTAGTTGTAGCTTGGGCGTTGGATCCATATCTACAGTTTTTCGAACATGTTTCCAAACAAGTTCCAAAGTTGTAAATTTAATGGGCTTGCAGAGTCTCCAAAATTGCAATATAAGAGTGGAAAGCAATTGCAGTTACCCACTGGAACTTGAACCGGAGTCAAACTGAACGGGATACAAGTCTTCAATTTGATTATTGCTTCGACCATCAAGCAAAAACTTCAACAACGCCACGGCTTTGCTCTTGCCTTTAGCGCTACCATGTTCTTGCACGTACACAATCCCATCCAAAGCCCCAACCTTATCTCTAACCTCGCCAACAACCTTCTCTCCCCCAAACCGAACCAAATTCAACAAACCCGAAACTGCATTCTCCATTGTCCTCAAACTGCAATTCCCACTTTCCGAACCCAACATCCCCAACAACACAGAAACCCCCAAAACCTTCTCAAACTCCTTTTCGCTCTCCTCGCACCCCGCGATTTGCGCAATCACCGCAGTTACATCCTCAATTATGCCAATTTTCTTCGCCCTCTTTACGAGGTCGAATAGCGCCGAAACTACGCCCAGCCGGACCATAACGGTCCGGTTCGGCGGGTGTAGCGCCACGCCAAAGGACGCTCTGAGGGCGTCCTTCAGGGATCTCGTCGGCGAGCCCAGAGAGCTCATCACGCCGAGGAGGGCTCGAAGGACGTCGTGATTGGCCCCGACGATGAGGCGGTACTCGGGGACGACGACGAGAAGGCTGTGGAGAGTGGCGGCGGAGGACTGGACGGCAGAGGCGGAGGAGGAGGAGCTGTGGCGGGAGAGGAGGTGGGAGAGGGCGTGGAGGAGGGTGGAGCAGGAGACGAGGGGGTTGCGGTCGGAGATGGAGAGGTTGAGGAGTGTGGCGGCGGCGTGTTCTTGGATGGGGTGAGAGGGGGAGTAGAGGGCGGCGGCCAGGAGGGGGACGGCCCCTGCAGCGGCGATGAGGGGGCGGGTGGCGGGGTCTTGGTTTGAATTGAGGCGGAGGTGGCGGAGTGCGGCGAGGCGGGTTTGGTCAGAGGGAGAATTGAGGCTGCTTACTAGCGTTCCGATTGTTAGGAGTTTGGTGTCCATTGGTGGGTGGGAATTAATCCCAAATAACTAATCTGTTTCTATTGTTCCGATCTTTCTTTGTGAGTGAATGCGAACTCTTTTGGTTACTTCAGAGTCAAGTTATGGCATGTGAGACCATCGTCTCTGGTCTGTTCTAAGAGACAACTGATTCCGTTCTTTTTATAATAAATAAATAACTATTTTATAAAAATAACAATTGATATATTTAAAAATATGTTTTATTTTTATAATTAAACTAATAATAATAATTTTTTAAAACAAGAATCGTAGAGTCAAATGGTTTTGTTTTTTTGGCAGATGTTGCTTATGGGTAGTGTGTTTTAATTATAGATTAGGAAACAGTGGAAGTTATGTTATGAGATTGGTTGGATAGGAGTGGTGGGAAAAAAGAAAAGGAGGGGTGAGGACATGACATGACATTTGATGAGTGCAGTGGAAACTGTAGATTTCTATTAATTGATCGAGTCAAATGAATAAGGTTTGATGCGAAGAGTGATGACGTTGATATTCGAAGTGCGTTGGCGATAATGTCTAGGGGATTTAATTCAGATTTCGTTTGTTGTTTTCATAGCACTACTTATAGACTCCGAAGACTGTTTTATCTTATCTCCATCAACACCGATAACTCATACTCAGTCATTTAATTTTGTTTGTTTACTTTTTATAATTTCAACCTAATTTAGTGTTGTTGTTGTTAGTTGTTGTAGTGGCTGGTTTGAAATTGAATTTTAATAAACAAAATGCTATCTTTATATTTTCTAAAGGATTTTAAATATTTTAAAATGTGATAATTTTTATAACAATGCTTATATTTAATAAATAAAATATTTTTTTAATCCTTCACCAGCATATTTTAAAGCAAAGAATTATTTAAATTAAACTTAAACAAAATATACTCTAATTTGAGACAAATTAAAGTGTAACCTCAACTGAAAAATTTACATAGATCATCATTACTTATTTTGCTCCTATTTTTGCCATAGAGTTAATTGTGTAGTGTTTGGATTTTATGAATTATATTTTGTATGTTTTTATTATAATTTTGTGTCAATACTTATTTTTTTTAATTTTTTAATTTATAATTTTAATAAAATATGTATTTTTATATTATAAATAATAGTACTATATCTGCTTATTGAATTATTCGATAGAACTTTTTATTGTAAGTTAAGTATATTTTTTTAGGTAAAATTACTTTTTTATCTTTTAATTTTAAGGTAAAATTTACTTTTCATTAGCTCTATTAGATGACTTAACAAAGAGATATTTTAGATAACGCCGAGATGATTTTAATACCGTTAACTTAATCCTATGTGAATTTTTTATTTATAAATGATGATGTGGCGCTGAGTTCAATTTTCTTTTCCCTTTTTTCTCCCCTTTCTCCTTCAACGACTCATCATCATTTTCTCCTAACTCATCAGTCTCATCTCCCTCTTTCAGTAGCCCTCTACCCTCCTCTTCCTCCTCGCTTCACTCTCTCCTTTTTTTACCCCTCCCTTCCCCTACCTTTTTCCCCTAACCCATCAATCTTGTCTGACCCTCCTATAGTCCATTTTCCCCTTTCCCACAAACTGAAAAAAAATGTCAAATACAATCACATAATCCAAGTTCAGCAAAATTTAATTATACAAAATATATTATATATCTTCTTATTGCTAAGGTATTAAGTGAGGGCTGGATGTAACCAATAAATTTAACTATTAAGCTAATTCTTTGTCTAAACAATACATATAACATAAATTATCAACACAAAGATTCTCATCTTAATTAGTGGACATTTTTCTTATAACAACCACCTATTCCATGACATCTGGAATTCTCCAAAGATACTTATGTTCATAAACAATTGATGACATAAGGTGTACTTCAATGTTTTAGTGGGTTAGGGAAAAGGAAGAGGAAAAGGGGTTGCAGGAGAGGAAGATTGGTGGGTTGGGAAAACGGAATGGGAGGGGGCTGCAAAAAAGGGAGAAAAAAGCTGTTAAAGGGGGAAAGATGCCCTGCGAGAGAGGGAGATAGAGCTGTGGGGGGAGGAAGAGGAGGGGAGAGGGCTGCAAAAAAGGAGAGGGGAAGCAGCGTGAAGTAGAAAGAGGGACTGTGGGAGGAGGAGACAGGATTGGTAGGTTGGAGAAAGGGGTGGGGAGCTATAGGAGGAGGAATGAGAGGGGAATGGGCTGTTGAAGGGGGAGACTATAACACCCTACTTTTTGGATTCTAAAAATAAATAATACTTTATTGTACAATGAAAGAATAAATTGAGTTTATTCAATTCCTGAAATATAAATATGCAGAAAAATTTGAACTTTTCTTAGAACAAACATATTCGTAATATTTTTACTATTTTCTTAGAAATAAATCATCATACTTTTATGTTCCAAATATCCCAATTAATGAAGGCTTTAGTACAAAAGTATTAAAGTTTCTATGCCAAGACATAAAATAAAAGTTAGAGTTTGGGATCTAGTCCCCTTACCTGAAATAAGACTCTACTATCAAATCTTTCTAGCAGTCTAGAGAGAAGGTACAACACGTCCAAAATGGAAAGTTTTGCTCAAAATGTAGAGATATTCCTAAATACTACAAGGTGAACACTTATTGAGAAAGAGAAAAGTGAAGGAAAGAGATAAAACTAGATAGCTGGCTGACGAAGAGCCAACTCAACACTCCACATAGCTATTTGGAGGCCAATCACTGCCTATGTAGCATGCCACGTCATTTTTAAAATTTTTTATTATTTAAAATTAATATTTACAAATAAATCCCTAGTTATACTTCTATATTTGCAAATAAATCCCTTTTTCTTTTCTTTTTTTCTCTCATACCCCTCCTCTTCCTTCTCCTTTTTTTGCTTTCCTCAGCGAGGAGAGAGTCCTTGCTGAAGTGTGACATGGCAGCGATGAGGTCCATGAAGGTCAGGTTCATCAATGGCTTCTCGAACATCACCACAAGTGCAGAAGAGGGTTCTTTTAGGTTAGCCACCCATGATGTCCCTGACTCTGTCTCAAACGCGAATAGTCTTGGTTTCTCGATCTTAATGCTCTTAACATTAAGATCAATTTTGATATTGCCCATTTGTTCTTCTTCGCCATTTCCCTCTTCCTTTTGTAACCCCACACACCACATATACACAAAATTACTACCATAGCTACTGAGTCAGAGGACACTCCTGCAATCATGCTTTTTGTTTTGTGTTTTGACTTTTGCTTTGCCTTTTGTTTCGCTCTCTGCTTCGCATGAATGGGTTTTTAATTTTTGTTTGAACTGATTTTTTGCGTGTTGGATGCGTTGTAGTTGTAGTTGAAGTTGTTGCCAGCATAGATGAATACGGATTTGCCAAATTTTTTGAACTTGTCTAAGGTAACTGATGCTTTGAGATAAGTTCAAGAATTTGATGGTATTCAGGGGAGGGAAGTCAGAGGGGAAATTATAGTTTAAAGTGTTGTTAGACAAGTCTAAGTAGGACAATGAAGAAAGAAAAGAAATGAGTTTTATGTTTCTTTTGATGCTGCAGCTTGAGAGATCGAGGTGGTGTAGATTGGTGAGGTTTTGGACTCTAAAGGTAATGTTTTGAGGTTGTTGTGAGAAAATTTGAAGCTTTTAAAGTTTGAGAAACCATAAAGGTGTAGTAAATTGATGAACTGTTGTGTGAGAGATTGAGTGTTTGTAGTAATGAAAAAGAAGCATTTTGGAAAGTAGGTTTCATTGCGTTACCTCCAAATATGGATTTAGTTTTTGTTTCTTTCTCAGTTTGCATTTAGGTTGGAGTGGTTAAGGGACGAGAGAGGAGAGAGAAGTGATGGGAGAGAAAAAAAGAGAAAAGTGGAGAGGTTTTATTTATAAATATAGAAAATATTTCTAAGAATTTATTTGTAAATATTAATTTTAAATAATAAAAAATTTAAAAATAACATGACATGTTACGTAATGGCTGGGTCTTGAAAGAGCGACATGAAATACTGAGCTGGCTTGTTAGCCACCTTAGCACTTATATGAGAGGAGGTTAACAGTAGAGACAAAATTCTAAATTTTTAACTTTGTAGGGATTATATCTTATCAAATTTTTTTATAAAAACTTATCACAAAACAACCTATATTTATAAAACCAATAACATATTTAAACTTTTTTAATATTAAAAATACTAAAAATATTATTCTTTTTGTCATAATTGATTACTTTTATCGATTATTTTATTAATTTTATTTTAAATTTTTAATATGAAAGTTATTATTTTATTTTTTCTTATTACTTTATATTAAAAGAAATTAAAATTTGTTTAACCTAATTAATGTTACAAAATATTCTAAAATTATTAATTTTCAAGATTTGTAATAAATAATAAATTTCTTAAATCAATACTAATCTCATAATAAGATAAAATGATACAATTTGTTTTTAAATATGTTACAAAATATCTTTTAATTTTATTTTATTTTTAATTTAAAACTGTATATAACTGAACTGTACATGATGATAAAATTTGTAGATTATCTCCAAAAACCACGCTGGCCAAATCATTTGTTAGAACATAAATCCTGTTTGAATCTAAATGATTTGTTCGATCAAAGTTTTAATTTGATCTAGTCAAACATAAACAGTAATTTAATAGCAATTAATTGCAAGTCTTTAATATCTTTGTGAAATTTTTAAAATTTGAGCTAAAATATTTCTAAACTAATTTTTAGGTCTGTATGGTCAAGCCGAAGTCAATAACTATTAAGAACTAAAATAGTTGCGTCACTCAAAATCAATTTATGTAAGTCAAGGGTTATTTATCTCATAAGCTCGCAACTTTCATAGCATACTAAGAACTTCTAAAATATTCCTACGTCCAATTTATCTCATGAGAATTTTTATTTTTTTTTAATTCTAACTGTGATTCATTTGCATACAAGTCTAATATTAATGGTACGCAGTACATTATCAGTTGGATTTTTATTCCATTCATTATTTTGTTTGGTAGAAAATATACACTAACTTGGAGTGTTATTGCATATGC